CCCCGCCTCACCTCACCCTCACCTCAGCCCCGGCCGCCCGCCTCGCGTCACCTCCCCTCACCGGGGCCCCAGCCCCTGTTCCAGTCGCCTCACCCGGACATCGGGCCGGCCCAGTCCCTCTCCTCTCAGCCCGCCCTCAGACTCCGCACCCCGCGCCGGTGGCCTCAGGCCCCGCCCCCGGAGAAGTCGGCCCCGCCCCCAAGTGACAGGTGGCTCCCGCAAGGTCCCTCGCGCTCCGAATAGGGGCCTCTTCCCCACGTCCGTCCTGACGAGGGAGAGCGGGGCAGACTCTGAACCTCCCGAAAGTGCCCCAGGAGGCTGTGCTTGCCTTGGGAGACTCCCCGATCCCACGGTTCTCAGAGCTCCGCTGTCCGCCATATTCCCCGGTTCCCTTGCGGGGTTAACGCCCGCCCCCAGGGCCAACCGAGGAATGGGGCTGAGGAAGGGTCTGGAAGGACCAGCCTCGTCTCGCGGCTAGCCCAGACCCTAGACGCGTCCCAGGGAGCCTGCACTGCCCTGCTCTGTACAGCGGGAACCGTAACTAGGGCACCAGGGCGTTGTAGGGGTGATAGCGGGAAAGTTTCTTTACTTCCTGTGCTGCTAACTGCCTCCGAGTTTGGGGCAGAAATTGAGAAACCATCAGGAAAACTTCCATGAATCACACCTGTCACTCTCAAACTCCAGTGGGCACCAGATTGAGACTTTCCAGGGCCCTCACCCTCCCCCCACCCCCAAATCTGAATCTCTAAGGCCAGGCTTAGATTTTTCTAAACAAGCTTTACAGGTGTATATCAGCCACAAAGTTGGTGAGACCACCTGGCTTGAGTTTAAAAGAGCAGCTGAGTGGCTGCTGAGCCTGCTCCCTTGGGACATAAACCAGGGCTTTCTGCATCTGCAGTGGACAGAGCGCTCTCGAAGGGCTGTTCTTCCCTCTGTGCAGTCACTGAACTGGACTGAACTGGGAGCAGGCAAACTGGGGTGCACACTCCAGCTCAGTCAGACCTGATGCTGGGGAACACCCAGGAAATCAACCCAAACCCTGCAGGGCCTCAGTTCATCACCTGGAAAAGGAGGGTGGTTGTGAGAATGCGAGAATGTGTGTGTGAACTCAATGCCTGCCCTCATTCCCTCAGCAAACCTGCACTGCTCCTGTTTCTGGGCATGGGGCTTGGATGGAGAGGAGGAGGAGAGGATCCTGCCTCATGGTAAGTACAGCAGCCGAAGGGCTGTGGGTGCAAAGGGATAGATCAGGTGTTCTTCTCGGTGGGGAGGAGGCCTCGGAGGGGAAGGTGGAGGCCCTCAGGGTGAGTCTGCAGAAGTAGCAGTCATTCAGTAAATACATGCCGATTTACTTCTAGGGACAAGATGGTTTCTTTGGGGATAAATTCAAGAGGAGGTGCAAGCATTTTATTCATTTGCGATGACGCTTCCTTGGCAGGCAGGGCAGCAAGTTCTAGGACAAGCTAAAATCATCCCTATTAAAAAAAAAAAAACTACCCCCTAGCAGTCCTGGGGCAGGGGTTAAATTAAAAAAAAAAATCCTCAGTGATTCCTAATTATTTTTGAATACAGAGGCTTGGGAAGGAGTTTCCACTGGGTTCAGGAGGAAGGTGTGACTTCTGCGTAGTGTTGGGGGGAAAGGGTAGGAGTAGGGCCTATGCAGGCTGTCCTCTTAGCCCACAGGCGCCACGATGATGTCTACTGGCAGCTCCTCCGAACTTCTGGCTGTCACCTGCATTGTTACTGTGTCCAAAAGCAGCAGCTGGGAGCACACGAGGATGTCATGACCAGCCCGGAACACACCTAGAAAGGGAGAGAGAATACAGTGTACAAGGCAGAAGGGGGCTGCAGAGGCCGGGCTGTGGGTGCCGTGGGCAGCAGCTGATGAGGGCAGCTCTGGTGCAGTGCAATGGGAGTGGGCCTGGAACCAGGAGAGCTGGGCTGAAATCCCTGAGGCCCTGTGCAAGTCACTTTACCTCTCTGAGCTGTGGTATCCTCAACTACAAGGTGGAGGAGATAATAATACTAACCGTATTTCAAACTTCTGGCAAGCTCAAATAATTAATGGACATATAAGGCTCGTACCTGATGTCACAGAGGCTCTCACACGTTGGCTGGATCTAAGAGCACAGATGAAGGGACAGCCCCCACCAAGACAAAACCGCAGAGCAGGTGTCTGCCGGACCCAGGGACTGAGCTGCTTCAGTGGGCCTGGGCGCTGTCAGCTGTGAGCCGGGCACTGAAGCAGAGCTACCTCCCACCCCTGTTTATAAACACTCAGCAAAAAGCATCTCGCATTCCCCTTCTTTCGCTGTTTAAGGTGTGATAATTGTATTGCCCCCTCCCCTTAAACAAACGGTCATTATCTCTTAGAGAAACGTACAGATAAACATTTACATACAAAATGCTTTATCTGGAATTTGCTTTAAAATAATCTAGGGGGGAGAATGGGTGGGAGTATAGACGCTGTTGTTGCAGCTGGAAGATGAGCACATGGGGGCTCATTATACTATTCAATTTTTGTTTATGTTTGAAAATTTCCATGATGAATGCTTAAAATCCCATTCCTATTAGAAAAGACCAACCAACCCAGTAGAAAATTAGACGGAGGATATGAAAACAATTCACAGAAAAGGAAATACAAATGACACTTCACATTTGAGAAGATGCTTTACGTCATTCAGTATACAAGAAATGTAAAATAAAACTACACTAAGATACCACTTTTCACCCAGACTAGCAAAGATTATAAAATCTGATAATATACCATGTTGTCCAGAGTGTGGGAGGAAAGGCATACAATCCTATGGAAGGCAATTGGAAATATTTATCACAGTGAGAAATGCACCTTGGCCTGGTAATGCCTTGGGAAACTTATCCTATAGATATCCTCAGTGCACACATGCAAGATAAAGTGTGTGTGCATATACACATATGTGTATATGTGGGCTTATTCACTCTAGCCCTGTCTATAACAGCAAAAGACTGGAACTACCTAAATGTTCATTGATACGGCCAGTTCTGTAAGATATGGAACATCCATACAGTGGGATACGGGGCAGCTACACACAAGAACAAAGATTCAGTTTGGGATGATGAAAAAGTTCTGGAGATGGATAGTGGTGATAACCGCACAACAGTGTGAATGTACTCAATGCCACTGAACTGTACACCTAAAAATGGTTAAAATGGTAAATTTTTTGTTGTGTATATTTTACCACAATTTTTAAAAAAAGAAAAAAGAATGCAGAAACTCTATGAACTGATAGGGAAGATCTCCAAGATGCACCGTCAAGTGAAAAGCAAGGTCCAGAACAATGTATATACCATTTGTACATAAACATTTGAGTTAAAAAAGGGAAATGTGTCTGTATTTTTCTATCCATAAAATCTGTAAAAAAAGCTGTAGTAGTGACACCAGTTGCCTGTGGAAGGGAACTGGATGATGCCAGCAAGGGTTGGGAGGGAGACCCTTCACTGCAGGTCTTTTTGCACCTGGTGAGCCATCAACACTGTAACTTTGGAATTTCTGTGTTCCCAGTGGGAGTGCCTTCCCAGGATGCAGTGGCATCTGGGCTGCGAGCTACCCAGGCCCTTCCCACCCAGAAATGCTGCTTACCAGCCAGGAGCAGTGTGTGGGTGTTCTTGTTATCTGGCACATTGTCTGACTTCTCACAAGGGTGCGTTCCCAGGAACTTCAGAATATTACCCACAGCCTCTGTCCAGAGGAATCCCAATATCATTAAGCCATAGATCTTGTCTCCCTTTGTGCCACCACCACTCCCCATGCCCCAACCCAGCTCTGAGGGGCTTTTAATGAAGTGTCACCTGAAGTATGTGCTCTCCACATGGCCCTGGATCCTTGGGGTGCAGGGGGCAGTGAAGGGAGAAAGGGGAGAGCCATGTCAACAGTAGCCAAGGATTTTACCTTTAAGTGTCTTGATGGCAGACAAGGTGAATGTTTCCTCCTTCTCAAACTCATCTCCTACCTCACCCTGGGCTGCTTTGAAGTTCAGTTTCATGACCTTGTGGATGTGATCAGCTACAGTGACTTCCAGATCTTCCAGCTGGGGAGATGGGGGGTGCATTTAGGCACACACTTCCAGGGGAGAAACTCCCTGCTCTGTGCACCTCTGGGCCTCTGCTCTGAACTCGCTGCTCATCCTTTCCTGCCGCACATTCAGCAGCTGCTTGCTGGGCGCTGAGCGCTGTGCTAGGCTCTGGGGACATGCAGCAACTTGACCGGTTACCTGTCCTCAAGGTGCTCACAGCCAAGTGGCGTCCCTTCAACAGAAAACACCCTGACCAAGTACTCACCTTAGGGTGTCAGCTGCCAAGATCACACCCCTTCTGAAGCCCGCCTAGAGTCAGTGCCTCAAGGATCCAGGACTGTAGGGAGCACTCACAAGAGGTCTGCCTCCTATGGCTCTGTCACTCCTATGACACAGCAGATTCCACCCCCTCAGCTGTGTCCTCTGGGCCTGACATATCCTGGACCCCCACCTCCATCCTAGCTGTGTCCTCCTGAACTTGGCACATAATACTTCCCCCCACTTTGGACTGAGTGTACTTAAAAGTTCCCCATCCATTCCCCCAACAGAGCTTCACTGAGCCCCTTCACTTGTGGAGGGTGTACATAAGTAGCACTCGACTCCTACACAGAGGCACTGCCTCAGACCCAGCTCTCCCAAGGAACTCACTTGTCCTAGGGCAGTTCCTGCCCTTAGGGTCACTGCTGGCTCAGGATGGCCCCTCCTCAACAATGGCTCTAGGATGACACAACCGTGACTGTCAGTTATATTCCACGGTGACTGTCCCCCTAGTCATGAGGAGTTCTAACATGTCCATCCCCAGGCCCAGCATAACAGTCTGCATTCAGATGGCACTGAGCCACTGCCCCATGGTCAAACCCCAGAACAATCCTGCACTCGGTTCTATCCAAGCTCAGAGAGGTGAAATTTGAAGGGCTATTTCAGTGCAACAAAGGACTACCCAGCAGATGCAAACAGATCCAATTTCTCTAGAAAGCAATTTGACAAAATGAATCAAAAAGTCTTAAAATCATGCTTATTGTTTGACCCAATTATTCTACCTCTAGGAATCTATCCTAAGGAGATAAGCTGAAATGCAGATAAAAATTTGTACACAAAGGGATGTTTAATGCAGCATTTATAGTGAAAATTTGAAATACACATTTAAGTGAGTTATGATACATCTATATAACAGAATATTTCAAAGTCATTAAAAATTTTGTTTATAAAGTATTTATAATGACACAGGAAGATATGCTGCAGTTTTAAGTGAAAACAGCAAGATGTATAATGTACAGAATGATCTCAATTATACAACACCCCCCCCCCCAATAACTCCCAGGGACCAGGGGTAACGTTTTTCTGTTTACTTTTTTTTTATTTCCCAAGTTTTCATCTTACACACGAGCATGTGTTTTGTAAGCTAAAAAAAAGTTTCTTCCAAAGAGAGCTGTAAAGCCAAAAACAGCAAGAAAATGCTTCACGTCTGTTTGTCAGCTCCTGGAGGGAGTTGCTCTGCAGACTCAGGCACAAAATTGAGCCTCCTGACACTAGCTTCTTACCACATATTCATCCTCATAGCCATCAACATCAGTCCCCCCATGGTGGGGTCGCGGTCCTTGAGAGTGAACTTCATCATGCAGCTGAATGTGCAGGCCACTGCAGGGAAGAAGGGCTGCGTGGTCAGGATGTCCCCAACACTGCGGGGATGAGCTCCTCCACAGGGCAGGTGGCCATAGCCTGCTCTCTAGGTCTCTGCTATGTTATCAGTAGCAGCAGCATACCATCTGGACAGGGGATGCCACCTTGTAGAAGGGCAGGAGAGTGAAATCATGGGTATGAGGAGTCTCCTCATGGGGAAGGAAGAAGGAGGGAAGCAGAGAGCTGCAGGATGGCTATGTCCACATAACAGTCACAGGCCCACTGTCCAAGGCCTGGAAAAAGAAGCTGGTGGTTTCCTTGGGAGGAGTGGATTTGGGATGTTTCAGTATTTGTGACTGTCTTTGTACTTTCATGGTGTAATGAGTACTGGTTTGAGGACCAGAGAGACCTGGGTTTTGCCTCTTACCAGCCATGTGAACTTGGACAAGTCATTTCACCTCATCTAGGAATAGGGATAGCAGTACTTATCCTCTTAGGTCTTCTGTGAGGATGAGACAATGTATGAAAAGTACCCGGGACTTAGCCATCATTCTTCTTCTTCTCAGGACTAAAATCAAGGAGTTGAAGCTTTCATAGGAGACCAACGGCTAGTACACTTGCTGCCCACCTCATCCTGATCCCAAGGGCTCCCACAAGGCCAGGGTGGTGTCTGGAGAGGTCACCAGCTTGGTGACCTCTTCCACCACTTCCTTGGGCAGTGCCACCAGTATGTAGCAGGCCCTAGGCTGGTTGTAGGGAAGGCTCCGGGCAGGCACGTAACAGAGCACCTCGTAGGCCTCAGTAGGCTCTATCTGCACCGTGACATTCTCCAAGGTCCGGTCGTTGAGTGTGTTCGTGTAGTCAAACTGGACCAGGGAAGAGAGGGGCTGCTTAGACACTGCTCTAGGCCCTAGCCCTGCTGCAGAGGAAGAGCCAGGAAGCCCTACCTCTCACCCTGTGGGCCAAACTGACTCCCATCCCAGTGCCCCTGCCCAGGCTCCCTGTCTCCTTGCTGATACTCAGCAGCCAGAGAGGCCACAGGTCAAGGGTGCAAGAAACATACCAGCTGGTGACAGATCCTGTCATCAAGTTGGGCTCCCAAGCAGCTCAGTGTGTAGGGGCTATGACCCTACAGAACCCGTCAGCCCTGGGACCACTCCCTGGGCACAAGCCCCAGCAAGGCCTCAGCCCTCCCTGCTGCTCACCTGGAACATCAAGTGGTCAGTGAAGGTGTATTTGGTACAGCAGATGACATACTCTATCTCTGACTCAGTGAGGGCCACAGGCTCAGGCGAGGACTTGAAGTGGGGCCCCAGCCCATGGTACTCTGGCACTGCCGCCAACTGCTCTGAAACCCACAGACCACACATTCACTCAGTTTTTCAGTTCCCAGACCAACTTGTGATGGTTTCCAATAAATGCTCATGCCCAATTCTCAAGGTCTTTCACTCTACTGAGATGGATGGATATATATATGCTACTGGTTACTATTTCCTAAGTATATTGATGCATTTTCTCATCTCCCTAACTTTGCTCAAGTTGTACCACCCACCCCCCTAGATACTCTCCTCTCCTCTGTCCCATGGAAGACCTCAGAAGCAATAAACTGACTGGGAGACCCCACTGTCCTAGGCCTAATCCATTTGGAGATTCCCTCAACTTTAGCTCAGCAAGGATTCTTAAAAGAAGGTGGAAATTAGGAAAGACTAAGAGGATGGGATGAATGCTATCATAACCACAGAATCAGGCAAAAGAACAAACTGGTCTTGTACATTTGTCTTTTAATACAAATGGCCAATAAGGAGATGTTTCAGATTCAGCATGTTGCAGAAAACCCAGCTTAGAGTGGTCTGTGGGCATCTGGTAAATCCTATCCCTATACCCCATAGCCAGGTTCCAGCACTGGGCTGGGTCCTCTGGGCCATCTAGGTGAATGAGGCATCTGGCAGCTGTCTGCACATGGCATCTGCCTGTGACGGCTACTGCTGCTGCTGACCTAAATAACTTTGGAAATGAGTGGAATCTGCAAAACTAAAGGCAAAGGAAGATATACATAGTACTGTACCCTAATTGATCAAATTGTTTCCCATGGGGGTACACGTTAACAATTCTGATATCATTATATATATATGCTGGAATTGAACAATTAGGTAAATGGGTGGCTGATGGTGGGAGCCAGGTTTCCCACTGTTGGAGTAGGAGGTTATAGTCAAGCAAGGAGAGGAGGCTGGAATGATCCATGGAGTAATGGATTAATCCATGAGTTGGAGATATCAGTATGAACTCATGTTTAGCTTAATAGAGATACAAATGGTTACATATAGAAATTTTTAGAGGTATTTTGATATGAGTAGGTTAGTATACACACATATATCTCCTTGCGCTATCAGCTAATAGAGCCTACAAGCAATGACACCCCAGTAACAACAAGCATATCTAGCACCCAGATCTTGGTTTCTAATACCATTCTCCAGTAAAAGGAACTAGTGCTCCTTGAAAAAATAGATGGGTGTAGGGTTGGAGCAGGGAAGATACAAGGTGAGCCTTGAACATCTTTTGAACATAAAAGGAACCAGGTTTCCTTAGAGAAATCACCATTATCTAAGAATCAAAAAGGTATACTCAGAGAAGTGTTGCTTCCTTCTCATCCCTACTGCCCCATTCCCATTTCTCCCTTCTTTTCACTCCTTTCCTACCTGTAGGTAACCAATAGCTTTGGTTTCTGCTTTATCCTTCCTGGATTTCTTTTGCACACAGGAGTAGACATGTGTGTATTTTCCTATATCTTCTTTCTTAAATGACAACATATCATAGAAGCTTTTTTGCACTTTATTTTTTTCCCCTTAACTGTATATATGGAAATTACTCCACATCAGCTCATAGAGATCTTTCTTATTCATTTTTTTGAGTAGAAATCAGCATTTATTATGTAACAGCCTTGTTATAGATACATTTCATAGGGGACTTCATTTCATAGCTCTTGTCTGCTGAGTGGGCCTAGAAGAACTGACTTCCCAGTAGCCATGAGCACACCCAGCACCCAGATCTTGGTTTCTAAGCATCATTCTCCAGGAAAAGGAACTAGTGCTCCTTGAAAAAATAGATGGGTATAGGGTTGGAGCAGGGAAGATACAAGGTGAGCCTTGAACACCTTTTGGTGCCAGAAAAAAAGAAAGTACTCAGAAAAGAA